AAATAGAAGAAGGATAAACAAAGAAGAGTAAAAGTGATAAAGGATAATAAATTGAATATAATATAAGAAGAAATTTCCAAAAGTAATTAGAAAGAATTATTAAATTTAGAAAAATTTAATAATTTAGACAAAATATCTAATAAGAAGATATAGTAAAATAAAGTAGAATGGATATAATATAAGAAGAAGGAAATTTAAGAAAATTTTTGTTTCATATAATGTTATCCAAATATTATTTTTGGGTCCCCTAGTCAATACAGGGAACAGGAACAGTGTGCAGTACAGATTTTCTGGGTACGTGATGTAGATCACTGCATATCATGCAATTGTCACCTGCAGATCACGATTTTGTCACTCACACATATATATATATATACTCAGATCTATATACAACCTTTATCGTTACCATTATTCCCAAACCTTTGCTTCATTTAAATTTAAATACATACACAAATATATATTGCGAAAAGTCACAGAATAAACTTTTTATAAAAATAAAAATTAGATTATATCACATTAAGTTTTCAAATTACCAAAATCTATTTAAAAGTACATTTTAATTATTAATAAATTTATTAAATTAGAAGCGAATTTGAATGCAATTACTTTTAAAATTATTAAACTTATCAATCATGAACTACATATAGTGTTTAATGTAGATAAGTATTGCGATGAATTATTAATTTCTAATTGAGTGATATCAAGTGAAAACCTAGAATTCTTATTAAATAACATTTTTAGGTTTTCACTTGGCGTCACTCAATTATTTTTTTATACCTTTAAATTTCAGGCTTCTATTTTTTATTCTACAATTTTTTTGTTTGTAATATGTTTGAATTCTATTAAACTAGAATTACATTATTTTATCAAGTTTAGGGCCTTTACTGGTTATAATTGATGAATACTTTGTGATGAAAATTTGCAACTTTTCTTTTTTAAATGCTCAACTTATTTGGATGACTTTCTTATTAGAGTAACTATAGATGTATACATATTTATATTTATAAAAATATATAACGAAAATTTTAACTAATCTAAATTTGATAAATTTAGTATTACCCAATTCTTAAAATGTAGTAATTACTGAAGTTACAAGTTGACACTGAACAGAAAAACAGTAAATTTATTTTATATAATTAATGTTTTAAACTTAATTATTACAAATAACTAATTATTGCAAAAACATGGTCCATGGTTTTGCATTCCATGTATTACTACACCTTGAATTGTGTTGTGATGATTTTATGTTATTTATCATAGTGAACACTCAGTCTATATTATTAACAGCATTTCTCACGTGTCTTAAATTATTAATAGACAATTTTTCTCTAAGATGTTTTGCTAGATATTCTAACTTGACTACCTTAGCTTTACATTGTTAATAAAGATCCAGGTCAACTCTTTCATCATCATTGTTAGCAGAAGAAATAGTACTAGATTGCTGTTATAAGTCTAAGTTAGATATGTGAATATTATCCTTTGATTCATTTCCATTCCAGATAAGGAATGAATAATCTGTTCATCATTTGAAATTTTGATAAATAAGTCAGATTCCTTCTGGGTTATACAACCTTTCTTTCACAATTGCCTGGTAGATAAGATGCTTACAAATAAGAAATCAGCTATATAAAAATGAAGAACAGCTATATATCCAACAATTTAAATCAATTGTATAACAGTTTTCCATATTATCAGCAATTGGCTATTCAGCAAGTTAATTCCAGGTTTTTTGAATTCTTCAAACCATTTTGGTATTATTCGACCATGATATATTTGCTGATAATGAGTGGTTTAATTAGGTAAAACTCGAGAACAAATAATCCATACCAAATAATCTAATCTTGGCCTGTTAAAACGATATAGATAACAATGTTTAAGCACTTTCTAATATGATTCTATTATCATATTTGTTTTTTCAATTGGTATTGTTGCTTGCATTGAACGTGCCTAGAGATGCCAATATGATATTTTATACCATGAGGACTACAGGTATGACCATAATATTACAAGATTATATTCTATACAAAAACTATATATTTTAAGTACTACATGTTTTTGAATTTCTGCAAGTGTTAAATATTTACCATCTGTATTAATAGATATTTTGGGGTGCATGTTGAAATGTTTTCTAATAAGATTTATAATATCTTTTCGTAGGTTTAATAGGCAGACTTGATAATAATCAGGGTTAGAATGATTTAATTCTGGTTTAAACTTTGGGTTAATGAAACTAAACTCAGCAGCGGCTTTCTCAGGCTAATATTGGGTGTATTGTATTTTTTTTTTACTTTTTAATTTTTTATTGATTGCTCGATCAATATGCCATTAGCATAATTGTATATCAGATTGTGGCCATACCTCTTTTGCTGCATTTATTTCAGCAAAATCTTTGTCTGTATAAAAATAGATCAAATTTAGCCTATAACTTCGAATAGAATTAAAAAAATTGCCGAGAATATTTGTCTTTAAATACTCATATGATTCTTTTTTTTGAGCATTTGTAGTATTTAATAGAAATATGCTAAGAGAAAACCTGCACCATTAATATTACCAATGAGACTATACAATTCAAACCAGCCTTTTGCAGTTTTATAAGTAGCATCATAATAGACTTCTGATACAGATAAAAGAGTACTAAATAGGTGTGTTATAAAGCCTATTGCCGTTATTTTATTAGTTATTAATTCAAAGCAGAGTTTGTAACCTGGAGCCGATTTGATCTAAGGAATGTAAGTACTGAAATGGCATGGTCTTCATTTGTTTTGTATAAGTCTTGCATGAATACTGATCACCAATAATAAATTTGCTTTGCTATAATATTTAAAATTTTAAATTTATTATGAAGAATTGTACAAATTTGTATTGGATCTAAATGAAGGTTGGTACGAATCTCTTGTTTAATTTCTTCTAGTATTGAGACATCTTCAGGTTTTTTATGAATAATATCATGGCAAAGTTTTAATATAGCTTCCATTGCAGGTACATTGACATGAAGAGTCAATTTGCTATGACAATCAAATCGAGCAATTCTTTTTTGATTTGATTGCTTATATTCACGCTCTAATTCATAGTATTAAGAACATTTGAAATAATATATAGAAATATTATTAAATTGAACTGAGGTATGTGGTGCCATTGTAGCTAACTAGACATAATCATCACTCTCTTCAACTTTATTTACTATTATTCTTACAATTGATTTAAGGTCATTAGGCTCAACTTCTGAAAAAATATCATCATTAAGATCGATACAAATTTCAAATGAAATCTCATTATTATTTTCAATATTAGAAATTAAGTTTTCTATATAATCACAAAGAGATTGTGCTGAAATTGTCTCCATAGTAGGTTGAGTATTATCATTATTTAATTTTTTTTGTTTTTTGGCTTTATTAATAAGACAATTAACACAAGTTTTATTAGTTTTTCCTTTATACACAAAAGATTCTAGTGGATAATAATGAGTACAAGAATTGCATTTATTTATTTTTAGTAGAAGTTAAATGAATGATCTTTGAAAAGTAATAGAATTACAAAAATTAAAAACAAGAATGTAGTAGTACTAAAGAATAGGCAATAATCAAACCAAGAGATATTTATATACAAATTTCCTGAGAATTTAATATATTATTACGAAATAGGTGCAATAAATTAAAGATTTCTTATTCAGTGCATGTAAGCCAAGTTTTCAAAATTATAATTATAGTTTAACATTATAATTGATTATATTTTATTACTAGTTAATAAACTATTAGCTAAATAGCAGTTAATTTTCTCAAAGTTATATTTAATAATAATATTTATTCTTTTAGACTTTATAGGCTCTACATTGAATTTTAGAATAAATAAATTATATAAAAGTTTTTATATATTCCATAACAAATTTGCATGAATTAGAAGAGTTAAATTCACATATCTAATTTGATGGAATATATTACTTTGAACTATAAAACAAACTATAAACTTCATATTGATTTCAGAAAAATAAATTGTGCAAATATCTCTATTGATTCTATAACAGACTTGCATGGTTTAGATGAATCAAATTCACGTATATAATTTGTTTAAATAATATTACTTAGAATTATAAAAATAATATATATGAAAAATATGTTCACTTATTTCATATTTATTTATTATATTTATTACAGAAGTCACTACACCTTTGTATATCCAATCAATATGACCACTTACGTATATATCTTTAGATATTCTAGCATTTATTATATTTACTAAAGAAGTCACTGTGCCTTTGCATATCCAATCAAGCTACAAAATATCTTTGGATCGCTATTAAATTGGCCAAATTTGTTATGTTATTGAAGCCGTGGCTTATATTTTTTAAACATGTTTCAACTAACAAAATGATTTATTTTTTATGCTATGAAATTAAGCTGAAATTCATTTTCCAATTTTACAAGTAGTTCTCATTACAGTGAAATTATTTGGCTAGGAAGCATTTATTCATTAATCAAAATTCAAAAAACAAGTTGAATAGTATTCAAACTATGTTACTCAACCTGTTGTGTAGAGATTGTACCAGGGTAGATATTTTTTATTGTATGGAAATATTAAATTGCCCAGATAACTGGATAATTTAATAATACCCAAATAGAATTTTTTTGACAGACGCAATCTCTAGTTGAGTGTTTATATTTTACTAATAATTCAAGCTTATATTGTTAGAATAATTATATCAAACCAAGCTTGAATTATAGATTAAAAGCTGTAAGAAAATTTTAGCCTGAATATTATGAAATTTATTATTTAATAATTTTTATCTGAGTTCAATTTTAGAATAAATACTTTTTCATTCATTTAAATGAATAAATCTTATTAAAATCCTTTCGAATTTCATAAGTTTGATATAAATAAAATGATAAAAATTTGGTTTTCTTATTAAGTTGAGAATGGTTATAATTTGGTTCATTATTGTAGTTATTTGGATTCTCCATAATACAGTAATATTGTAAGTTAAACCAGCAGATATTTGAATCGCACCAATAATAATTTATTAAAAGTTTTATATACTGGGCTAGTGTGAATTACTCAATAACAATTTTGACTAATTTGAAAACCAGACTAAATTCGATGAAGTATTTTTTATTTAAATTCTATGGATTCATAGAATTCAAATAAAAAAAATTTTATCAAATTTGGTTTAGTGGTTGTGGAAATATCTTCGCTTAAATTTTTTTTTAAAAAATTAGCACAGCTTCTTTTTAATAGTCATTTTAATTTTTCTTTACTAAATTCGATGAAATTTTTTATTTAAATTTTATGGATTCATAGAATTCAAAAAAAAAAATTTTTTATCAAATTTGGTTCGGTGTTTGTGGAGATATCTTTGCTTATTTTTTTTAAAAAAATTGGCATAGCTTCTATTTTGATAGCCATTTTGATTTTTCTCTAATTTTGAGCAAAGATATTTCTACAAACATCAGACAAGATACGATGATTTTTTTTTTATTTAAATTCTATGGACTCATAGAATTCAAATAAAAAAGTTTTTATCAAATTTAGTCTAGTGGTTGTAGAGATATCTTTGCTTAATTTTTTTTTAAAACATTGGCACAACTTCAATTTTGATGGGTATTTTGATTTTTTGCTAACTTTGAGCAAAGATATCTTCACAACCACCAGACCAAATTTGATAAAATATTTTTTATTTAAATTCTATAGATTCATAGAATTCAAATAAAAAAAATTTCATCGAATTTGATTAGTTGGTTGCTGAAATATTTTGTAAAGTACATATGTACATACGATAAACTAGAATTTTTTACATATAATATAATTATGATCTGCAGGTATACTTGCTGGCAAAACCCAGACAAATTCCAAATAATAAAAAAACAATTGCTATTTATAAAAAATTAAATCAAATAAATAATTTTAATATTTTGTAAATATATTATTTATAACTATAAGAATATATATAATTTGTTTAAATAAAGATTATTAATAAAGTTTTTAAGATATTAGCTTTGCTAGAATTTGGGATTTGGGATTTGGAATGATAGACAAATCCCAAACTATAGTAAGTTAGGATTTTGCCAACATGTATATCTGCAGGTGACAATTGCATAATATGCAGTGATCTACATCACATGCCCGAAAAATCTGTACTATACACTGTTCCTGTTGTATATTTGGATTTTCAAATATTGAAAAACTTTCATTATTAGTTAGCAAGAACTATTATTTTTATGAATTTTTTATACAAACTAAGCATATTGTTGTGGTTTTATTAATCTAATTGGAAATGGCTCAAATGGTAAGTATAAACAGATATACTAGTAATAGATTTATATCAGAATTAAGTGCAAATATTTCTTTACTATATTTTAATTTATTTTTGTTCAAAGAAAAGCTATCTGATTTTATTAATTTTACTTTTTCTTATATAGTTATATTTTAACTCTAGATTATTACATCATAAATTTATCATATGATTCTTAACTCTTAAATTGATTACATACTTTTACCTTATTTTTTATGCATACTTATTTTTTTATTTCATAGACTACTTTGTGATACTAACTATCTATAGTTGTTAGATAAAACCTTGAGGTTTCATGAAATTTAGTTTCATCTTTTATCAATTAAAATTTTAAATAACAAAACTAACAAAAGATAACAAACAACCCTATTATTATCTAAAAAATCTAGAAAAAATAAACTAGTTTATTTTTGCTAGCATATGTATAATTTTAGATACTAATCTTTGTGAATGTTAATTCACTAAAAATAATATTTTAATATTTGTTTCTTTTTATACTCTTTTTTATTTTAGCAAGAGCACTGGAGTATCATCTTTTTGAGTATAAAGTTTCATCATTTTAAGTTTAAAGTTTTGTCTTTTGTTAAAAGAATTTGACTTTTGTTAAATGGTTTGTCTTTTGAAGTTTAGGTTTCATCTTTTATTATTAAGTAAAAAAGGTTTTATCTAACAACTATATGGGCTGCTGTTAATAGAAATCAAGCAAATCTACATTTTAAAAAAAATCAATGCCTTAACTTTCATAGCTTATATCTCAATGAATTTTAAAGCTATCTTGTTGGTTTAATATTCAAAAGAAAGCTTAGATAGTAAGCTTTCTTTTGGTTATTAAATCATCAAGATAGCTTTAAAATTCATCGAGATATGAGCTATGAATTTAAGGCATTGATTTTTTTTAAAATGTAGATTTGCTTGATTTCTATTGACGGCAGCCCACATGTTCCCAGGCCCACCTTTACCTTAAAAAATAATTATTTATTACTTAACTTGAAAAGCGTTGAGAGCAGAATTTGCTTTAAAACTCAGTTTCAGATCATTTTTTAACACTTGTAAGTGCCGCTTATACCAATTGTGTTCTTTTTTTTTATCTGCCGTCCATGTATTTTCTTTTCGACGAAATTTTAAAGTGTCCAATCCGAGAACTCTGAAAAATAATTTGTTTTCATTTGTTGAGTTTTTCTTTTAATAAAGAAAAAAGCACTTGTAGCCTGCACGCGTTTGCTACGCGAATACGCAGATTGAATAGATCGAGTAATTAGCCAATCAAAAGCTTGAAGGCTTGGAAGCAGACACGTGCAATTTACCAATATGTCATATACGCATATTATCAAACTATATCAGATATAATAATGAACTGGTAGTTGTTAGAACATTACCGTTACCCGCTAGATTAGCTGTTTAAATATTTTTTTTTTATTTACTATGCAAATTAGCGACTTTCTCAGTAGGAAACGCGCATTCGCGCTAATATTTCGAGCCTGCTAATAATTTCGCTTTCAATAATTTAAAAAACACCTTATTTCAACCAGGTACACGACCTATATACGAAATAGATTCAGGTACTGTAATAAGTATTTCTTATGCTCGTATATTCATTAATTCAACTTTAAAAAAAGCGGGTGATTTCTTTATAAGCTTATATTTAGGGATGTTAAGAGTCTCGTCTGGTCCGACTCAGTTCCAAAAGTAAAGTTAGTCGATCCGAAGTTTGGCTCACGTATAATAATTAGGAATGTTAAATGGAGGGTCTAGCTTGATCTTGTTTAGTATAGATCAGATCTGAGATCAAGGAGTTTAATGAGATTGTAACTAGCCATATCAGTATTGGAACAAACTACATATGTCCGTGTTGCGTATTAAATTATTATTCATGTAGTTCTTAGGACTCTGCTCATAAATAGTTATGAGTCAGACTCAATGTGTTCATACTGCGTAGATTCAAAGGAACGTCAGCTTTATTGGTACCTTAATAAGGTGAAGATAAAGTGATCCGAGATGTTGGGATCTTATGATTTACGTTACCTTGAAAGGATACTATTTTTTCTATCACATTCTAACTTCCAACTTAAGCCTGACGTCAATTTTTCTTATTTTACAACAATACGGTCGAATTGAGCTAAGTAATTTATAAAATCGGTTTATTCTCCAAATGTTTATTTATGTGATCACTTTTATTAACAACATTTTGCATTCTCGACTAGTAGTAGATCAGACCTTCAACAATTCGCATTCAGGAAGGTTATTTTATAAACGTAGAATAAAGTGGCAAGGTATTTCTTTAATTTGCAAGATCTTCCCGGACGTATACTTGCCATCATCATTTTTTTTTGAGGGTTGGATTTGGATCAATTTTATTATGCTGGAAATTGGGATTTAGATTTTTAGATCGATTTTATGTTGGGGATTGAATTTTATTATTTTTTGGAGTTGAGCAAAAGACAGAGATATAAATGATATGTTTATTTACGGAGAGTTAGTCGTATTAAATACTGTAATTATTGCATAATCAAATAAAATACTGTGATAATTATTATTATTATTTTTTTTAAATTCACCATGTTAAATATTTATATATGTTGTGCCTCAGATTAATGCTTGCGTCAGATGTCAACTTTTTGGCCCGCATTAACTGATCGATATTG